AAAAAAAAGTTCTGCTATAGAAAAAAAAATATCATCAAACAATTTCTAAGCCCCAAATCTTTCAGAAAAAGTGTGTTTGGTTCCTTGACAGGGGTAGTACAATGTATGATTGCTCTATAGTTTCGTATTAGAAACATATTTTTTAGCTGTAGCGCAAAGATTTTATATAGGGTTCATCTCTGAGTTCATATCAGGCCAATACATAACATTTAATACACTGTTCTCAAACCCCTTTCGAGCTTCCTTGCTGGTCTGTTTTGGATAATTGTCTTGTCTGGACATTGATATGCAATGACTGCACCATCAAGTGGCCCATGCGACACCAAGCCGAACCGTTTGCGGACCCAGGCAGCGAGCCCAACCGACCGGGGGCGCGCCAGACGCGGACGCGGTTACCGAACCGATCGCGAGAAGAGGTAGACTAAAATCGGGGGGGGGGGGGGGGGGGGGGGGGGGGGGGGGGGGGGCGGGGGCGCGGGGGGGGGGGGGCGGGGGGGGCCGGGGCGGGGCCACCGACAACCAGGTAATCCTCGGAACCACCGCAGAGGCTATAAGGAGCCAAAAAGGGGCTGGAGCGATGAAATATCATTACTTTGCATTTCGAGGCATTTAGGTGTAACATATTTGCACAACACCATGATTGAAAGTTATTGAGATCGGACTGCAAGCGAGAGTGAAATGAAATGTCCTTATACTGGACACAAAGTTTAACATCATCCGCATACATGAGTACTCGAGAGTTTGTTAATACTGAAGGCAGATCATTAATAAAGAGTGTGAATAGTAGGGGGCCTAGATGGCTGCCCTGTGGTACTCCAGAAGTAACCTTAACAGGTGAAGAGAAGGAGTTTTTGAAGAGGACTCTTTGAGACCTAGAACAAAGGTAGCTAGAAATCCATCTCAAAAGATTAGGCGGAAACCCTAAAAGGTCAAGTTTTTGTGCTAAAAGGGAATGGTTTACAGAATCAAATGCTTTACTAAAATCAGTGTAAATGACATCCGTCTGCAAGTTACCTTGAAAGCCTTTAATGATAAAAGAGGTAAACTGTAATAAATTTGTGGTTGTTGATCGTCGCCTTATAAATCCGTGCTGAGACGGAGATGTAAGTGATTTGCAGAGATGTTGCAAAGCGGAGTTACAATTTTTTCAAACATTTTAGGAATAGCAGATAACTTAGATATACCTCTATAAGATCTTGAAGCAGTGAGCTTTCATTTAACAAGGGGCTGAAAATGCCATTCGACTTTGGTAAACTGTATGGATACGGCTGACCAGAGTAGCTTTCATGAGAATAGGTTGTTTGGAAAAAGTTGGCAAAAAGATCGGTAATTGCCTGATCATTGTTTGCTGACATATTGAGAAATGATAGCGAGGATGGATGTGCGGACGTTCTACGCTTTCTATTTACGAAGCTGTTAAACTGTTTAGGGCTCTGTGAAAGTCGTATCCTGCATCGAGATAGGTAATTTTTATAGCATTGAGCATTAAGAATGGAGAAATTTGACCGAGCTATTACATAGCGAGAAAGAGAAGAGGGAGAACCAACTTCTCGAAATTTGTTATAAAGTCTTGATTTTAAATTTTTTAAACTGGATAACTCTTTGGTAAACCAAGGAGGCTTTCCAGATCTAACCGGACAAGAAAGTGGGACACAAGAATAAAAAAATGTGTCAAGTACATTGTAAAAAATGTTTGTGCCTTTCATAACGTCAGTGCACAAGTACAGAGCGGACCAATCGAAATCCCTAATGAGGTTGTTAAGCTTCGTAAACTCGGCTTTACGAAAGCAGCGGACACGTTCAGATAGCCTACCCGTTCGATCCAATACAATATCGACCAACACTTCAAATATAGGATGGTAGGAGTCTTCAGGTATATGGTCGGATCCGTGACAAAGCACAGATCAAGCAATCGACCCAAGGAATTTTTCACATGGTTGACTTGAGACAGGGATAGGTCTAGCAAGCCGTCGATAAAGTCATGTCGTGACATGGGCAAAAGGTTATTAGACTCGTTTACCGAAGATCAAACAGTACCTGGCAAATTGAAATCACCAAGAACTATCATATGGTCTTTATCTGATAGCGAGGAAGAAACAGTTTGTAAAGCGGACAGGTGATGCTCGTATATTAAGATATCCGAGGGATATCTATTTGTGTTCTGCATTCGTTGTCGTCTTACATAAGATCGAGTGCTTTTTCCACAAAAAAAAACAAGATGGCTTTCTTCGGACCACATGATGTTTCTTTGTGACAACTCCCGTGCTATTTTGCATACTGCATTCGCTTTGCCCCATGGCTTGCTTCTAAAGTGGATTTTTTCTCGGAATTTTGGCACTTAATTTATGTTCTTGTAAGCAAGAACTTTGCTCATCCTTGGCGATTTTTTAAGATCCGCTTTTAGCTCTATGGAAGGTTCTTAAGGGTCCTTCTTGCTCTCATCAAGCAGTAGTTTGAACGGAAATGGCAAAATCGCGGCCTTTATTCCACGAGTTTCTTGTTAGTTGCATGTTTCAAAGCATTTCGAATCATTTTAGTTGAGCAATCAACAATTTGCTTCACTTTAAGATGTGTCCTTCTGCAATAAAAGTTTTGATCCTTTTTCTTTTTTCTTTCCCTTAAGCGCTTTCCAAGACCGACAACTACTTGTATTTTGTAACTTTCTTGCTATAATCGACTTAAGCCACCGATTATTAATTTAATCCAGAACATTAAATATCAAAAAGCTCGGAAAAGTAAGTTTTTATAAAGAACGAGAAGTAACGTGCGAGTCGCTTCTGGGGACCCGTACTCAGTCAGTATATACATTTTTGAGAATATGATTTTTTAGAATTTTATAATTTAAAAAAATGTTTTTTTTGCTACATCTGATATCCACATCTACAATGTATATTCTACATCTAACATGTAGATTGTACATGTTCCATTAAGATTCTACATCTCCTCCGCTAGGGGTTGCTCGCGCACTGAACGCGGCAAAGTGTGCGAGCGAGAAAGAGAATGAGTTGAGTGGTCTCTGGCAGGAGGGGGCGGAAGAACCAACAGAAAATAAATTTCTTTATTCTGGCTATAATTATGATCCGATCTAATTCAGATTCGGCAGTCTGGTAGAAATGGTCATTCTCTACGATTTAGTTCTATCGTATCTTTAAAATTGTGCCTGCCACAGATTTTCGTCCTTTGTGGAGGCGAAAGGGGGCGGGCGAAATTTTGAAATACACTTATAGCAGTGTGATATCACATGAGCCTGGAAACCAAATTTGGTTGCCCTAGCTCTTTTAGTCTCTGAGATCCAGGCGTCAAACAAGACGGACAGACTGACAGACAGACATGGCTCTATCGACTCGGCTATTGATGCTGAACAAGAATATATATACTTTATGGGGTCGGAAACGTTTCCTTCTCTGCGTTACACACATCCACTTTTACCACAAATCTAATATACCCCTAACTCTTTTTTGAGTACGGGTATCACAAATTTGAGTGCTATTTTTGTTGCCGTCCTATTTCACTTCTTTTTTGGAAAATTGCCTAAAGTAATAAGAACCGTTGAGAACTTGACAGTAAGTCTACTTCTATCAGAAAGGAGACATGTAAACCTAATTGATATTACAGTAGAGGGCAAAATATGTTGGTTAGAGATCATGTTTTGAAAAAATAAAGACTGTGGTACCGCCGCAACTAAACGTATCGCTTGATTGTGAAAACGGTTTCTTTCCTAATCCGTTGCCTCCTAAGATCATCAATGGCCAAAAGTCTTTTTAAAGGCATTTTTCTTCAGTTTAAGAGCAGATAAGAAAAAAATTAATAACCAATTGTTTTGATATTATAAAATTAATATTCGAATTTATTCTTGGAAGGTGTTACCCTAGCGTTTGTTCGAATTTGGTTTTTGAAAATGCTAAAAAAAAATTCGCTCGGAATTCTGTGGCACCGTTAAAATATTTACGCGGAAATCCTCTGCGCGGATTCCCATTTCGCTCGCGATTTCCATGGCACCCCTATATATAAAAGAAGGAGTGGTGAATTGAGAGAACTAGTGGAAGAGACATATCATATACATGATCATTATTTTGGTACTGCATAAGTGTTATTACAGTTACTACTCGTATAAAATGTTTCATCTCACAAGATTTCGTAATTGTATGGGCAAACAACTACAACAAGCGCATACGGTTATCCACTATCTACATAGTATATATGATTTCAGTTTGGAGTGGTTCCATCGACAGGATAGACCTTATGCAGAGTGTTGGGAAATATGTAAGTAGGCATTATTCTTCATGTATTACAATTAATTCTGTTTCCCCACCACATATGGAAGTACAAATGTATTACCGTCTACATTTGTTAAAAACATAGTTACAATTAATTTTTTTAGAGAAGATCAGAACTGTTTTAACCCATAGTTGGAAGCATCAAGTGCAAAGTCTCTACATTTTATAGTTAAATAGGCAGATGATTTGCCTAAATTTTGAAGAATATATTCTGTGGAATATATGTATTTCATATAGCTTCGATTGGAATAATCGGAAATACTTTCATATTTCACTACAATACATACATAGCTCAAAAAGATCGAAAATACATACAAATGTGCATAGATACATATGTAAATATGTATGTAAATTTATCATTAAGCCGACATGGGCGTCTGGACTTATAGATTCACTGTTTAAAAGCAAGTTTCTCAATTATTTTTGTTATTTAGAACGTACATATATATGTACGTATGTGTCTACATATGTAACGCGAATTTGTTCTTCGAATATTTGTTCGACGAGATTTCGAATGCGGATAGCCGTGTTCAAAATAGATCAGATAAAACATTTATGTTCTGCTCTAACAAACAGACGAATAAATTCGCCTGTGTATGCCATCCATACATACACATGTATGTATGAATAAACATAGCTAATTAATGCTTCCAAATATGTACAAAAGAATATATATATTAAAATAGGCAACATGTTAGGGTGTTAAAAACAAGTACGCGTTACCTGATAGCAGTTGACGGTACGCCTTCGTCGTCAGACTCCAAGCGAATTTTTTTCATTGCTACGATTTGACCTGTGAGTCGATTGCGTCCTTTATAAACCACACCGTAAGTGCCTTCACCAATCTTTTCAATTTTTTCAAAATCTTCCATTTCTCAATTTATGAATAAAATCGCCAATTCAAATTTCCGCGTTATTGAGGCTTCTTCATCTATAAGTTGCCAGACTTTTAAAAACAAAAAATTGAGAATATATCGATTGAGATGGCACTTGGAACACGACACAAGAACAAAAATCGTCTATATATGTATATAATAACGAATTAGGTGTTGCTCGATGTCATGATGGTATAAAATAATGATAAGTTTACATCGCTTGTTGATTCACGCGAGACAGATAGACTGATTTCCACTCATTTGTCTATATAAAATACATATATGTATATTTATAGATATTTTAATTTTAGGAATCCCATTATGATCATATCGAATAAAACAACTATCGATAGATAGCAAAAGAAGGATATTCCGGTTTACATTATGTTTAACTTATTGAGTTATTGCGGTTTGCGCAAAAATCTACCTCTTTAAGATAGGTTTAGCCACTAACAATTCAGTATATAGATGTGCCAGTTCATACACTGAACGTTTCGCAGCTGAATTTTCTGTCCCAGGTCCCCAGGTCTTCGGCTGCTGGACCTGAGACGTTCGGGTCGTGGGCCTGAGACGTACGGAATTTTTTTCGACATGTACGATTCATGACGAGATACGAAAGCAAGCCGAGAATTGCAAATGCAATTCCTATTTTCCGAAAGCATTTTGAGTTTCGTTTCGAGGTTACGTAAATGTGTTTGTGTCATGTATTCACACATACTGTGCTTGTGTGTGGGCTCTACAAGTTTTGGCCGCTTGAGCTGAATTTTGGTTTTTCGTTTTGTTTTGAAGGGCTGATGTTGCGGCAGGCGCGTTGGGTATTTCTTCCATTCTCTTTTATGCTAGCCTTTGCCTTTGCCTCTGCTTTCGGCTTCGTCAATGCTTCGGCCCGCGTGGAGTCGAGCGACAGAATACACCAACAAAAATATGAAGTCTGTCGACGGGAATTGGTCCATGGCCGGATTAGCAGTTGCCAAGGGCCCCCCATAGGGCATAAGGAAAAATTTGTTTAAAAAAAAAAACTCCAAATAATGGATAAAAAATATAATAGCCACTGATAAACATACAAAATAATTAAACAAACATAAAATTGATAAGTTTTTATTTCAAATAAAACGAGAAGGAACGTGCGAGTCGCTTCTGGGGACGCGACACTACTTATACCCGTACTCAGTCAGTATATACATTTTTAAGCATATGATTTTTTAGAATTAAAAAAAATTGTTTACATGTATTACATTTTTTTGCTACATCTGCTATCTACATCTACATCTACAATGTATATTCTACATCTAACATGTAGATTGTACAATGTACATGTTCCATTTAGATTCTACATCTCCTCCGCTAGGGATTGCTCGCGCACTGAACGCGGCAGAGTGTGCGAGCGAGAAGGTAAATGAGTTGCGTTGTTGTTTGCTGGCGTGGGCAGGGGAAGCAGCTGAAAATGAATTTCTTCATTCTGGCTATAATTATGATCCGATCTGATTCAGATTCGGCAATCTGGTAGATATGATCATTCTCTACGATATTGCGTTATATTATTTATTTAGTTTTATCGTATCTTTAAAATTGTGCCTGCCACAGATTTTCGTCCTTTTGTGGTCGGAAGGGGGCGGGACGAAATTTTGACATACATTTGTAGCAGTGTGACATGAGTCTGGAAACCAAATTTGAATGCCCTAGCTCTTTTAGTCTCTGAGATCCAGGCGTCAAACAAGACGGACAGACTGACAGACAGACATGGCTCTATCGACTCGGCTATTGATGCTGATCAAGAATATATATACCTTATGGGGTCGGAAACGTTTCCTTCTCTGCGTTACACACATCCACTTTTACCACATATCTAATATACCCCTTAACTCTTTTTTGAGTACGGGTATAAAAAGAAGGGAGCTGGCGAGAAAAAATGGAGGGTTGATCTGGCCCTGAATAGGTCGATTTTGGTTTTAAACTTTAAAATTTAGAGTTGCTATTTGTTTGTATTGTTTGTATTTATAGTGGGGACTCAGCCGAAAAGAGGTGGCAAAATTAAAAAATATGTTATGAATGCTTTGAATAAAATAAATGTACACATCTAGTGGAACATTTTCCAGAGCTTTAGCGAATCTAATTTTCGAAACGGTTTCGGAAAATAAGACTTGATAAATATTTTGTCGTGCCTGTGTACACACATACATCTCGTCATGAATCGAACATGTCGAAGAAATGCCGAACGTCTCAGGTCCACGACCCGAACGTCTCAGGTCCAGCAGCCGAAGGCCTGGGGACCTGGGACAGAAAACTCAGCTGCGACAAGTTTGTTGTATGAACTGGCACATCTATATACTGTATGGTTAGTGGTTTAGCATAGGTGTCTAGTGGTGGCAAAAAGATGAGTTATGGTTGCGTTTTATTTGCGCCTGTTCCTAGCAACAACAACAACATGTAAAATGGAGGAAATATGTAAATTCCGATATAATCCTTAAAAATAATAAATTTAGACAATTTTATCATTAGATATTTGTGGACCCATTTGGCTTTGCAAGCACTTATGGGAGGAAAAAGAAAAGTGGTTTTCGTGGTGTGCGGAAGAACTCTCACCTATATGAATGAAAATCTTTACAAATAAATGAATTCGAATAATTGAATGTGTGATTCATTGAGAACTATTCATGAAATGTAGAAATTCTTTTCTGTCTATATTAATAATTGGGTTTATATTTAAAATGTTACTAAAACACGCAGAACGTGCTGTTGTAAAAACTCATAACTCAATAGCTCGAGTTTTTGCCAGTATATACGCCTATTCTGAGTTATTGAGTTCCCGATACCGCTGAGAGCAATTCCGCTTAAAAATTTTACGAGTGCCACAGAATTTAATTATTTTAGCATTACCACAAACAAAATTCAATCTAAGGCCAGACGTGACACCTTCCAAGATTAAATTCGAACAGGGTTTATATCGCAGTTTTATTAATTTTATCATTGGTTTTTTATTTTTTTTTTATATGATATGAAAAAATTTATTTTTCAAAGCTGCACTTTTATAGTTTCAAAGGAAACAACATCCTATTTCGTGCGCGCCAAACAAATCACTTTACTAGGCAACTCTAGCTGTCCGGTAATTGTCCATGCCTGGCAGCAATTACCCAGGGTAATCTGGTTAAGTCTCATTCTGTTCATGAGCTTTTTCACTAGCTGTTGAATTTATTGTAAACATGAAGTCGATTTTAGTTCGTTATAGATAAAAACACGATTCGTATTTACGAATGTGAGACCGTATATGTGCAGTTATCTATGTACAATGCGACGATATGAAGTGTGAAGGTAGATTCTTTCAGGTGCAGGACCAGATCAAGACGACAGAAATGAGTAGGAGCGACTAGCGACGATATTGGCTGAAGATCAGTTCCAGACTAAAAGAGGGCAGGCGGACCGAATTGCCCGTGCCCTAATGTAAGCGAGAGAGAGAAAGAAAGAAGCTATAGAAGCTCGGGCTGCTGCTGAGCCGAGTACGAGCGGATAGATAGAGAGAGAGTGCGAGAGAACAGCATAGATGCTGCAGCTGCAGTACCGAAGCGAAGAAGGCGATATAAAGAGACGAAAGAACGATCGCTCTCTTGAGTAAAGATAAGCGGTTTCAAAATGTATACGCAGTGGGCAGTGCAAATAGCAAACAAAGGTAGATGTCGGGTTTCCCAGCCCGTTATTTAGTCGTACATTTTTTAGATATTAACTAGTGGAGCAGCCTAACGTAAATCATCTTCATTGTTTATTATTTGCACTGTCCACTGTACAAATCACTGTTAATTAGCCTATGTTTATGCACGGCAGCCGCCGCTCTTTCATTTCTATCTCGCCTTCTTCGCTTTGTTGTTGCAGTTGCAGCATCTAAGCTGGTCTCTCTCGCGTTCCATATGACGATCGTGCTCGGCGAAGCATCTGCCCCGAGCTGCTCTCCTTTCATCTCTCGCTTTCTTTCAAGACTTGCTACGTAGGGCGCTGGCAAGTTGGTCCATCTGCCCTTGTAGTTAGTTGAGAGATAATCTTCGTGTCCATCGCATCACTTTATTATATTGGTCATACTGACGCCTACTTTCCCTTACCAATACGAAACAAATTGTACAAAATTACCCATTGAAACGCTAGACTTTTTCTTAATAATAACTGAGTTTCAACGGCTATTAAAAACTCATGTTTTGTAGGAGGGTGGATGTGGTCGGGTCGGCTGGATTTCCGAAAACTTGTCTTCCCAATAATATTTATTCGGGGTGGAAAAGACACTGCTTTCTCTTGCTTATGCACAGTTCTGCACGGGGGAGGGCGCGAGCTGACGGAGCGATGTTAATGGCATTAACAGCGCTGCTGCCCTAAACATTAGTAGAAGTATTTGTATTTTGTATTTTCCATCCTAGCGCGACAAGCATATACTTATAAATTAAGGCGCTAGTCACAACAATTCTAATAGTAATTAACATTTAAAAATTCAGAATACATAGTAACATTTAAGAGTAATTACAGTTAGAATTATAATTGAACTTATGTACTAACATTTACTGACAGAATATATTTAATTTAATTTCTATAGGTCTCGCTCTCTCATCATCCATTCCCACTATTAAAAAGTTTAAATTAGTAGAGTTAGGCAGTGCGCAGATGTTCCTCCAGTGCGATCTTGAATTGCTTCGCGCCACTTATGGCCTTAAGGCCGTGGGGAAGTTGGTTCCAAATGCGGACAGCATATACGAAGAATTTTCGCATTTTGCAGCAGTACTTGTATTTAACTGGCATAATGTTTCTGGTCCTTCTTGACGTGCTAAACCTAAGTCTTTCGTATAGGTAACAAGGTTCTTTGGTGTATATAATTTTCTGCAATAATGTCACCCTATGGTTTGTCCAGGATTTAAGTGGCATATCGAATATCTTAATCTTTACGTCAGAAATACGGTCAGTTCTACGTCTATTATTAATATGTCTCGCGATATTATTAAAAGCAACTTGCAGCCTTCGTTGGCTAGCGGAGTTACAGACACTTCGATACCATAAAGAAGTACTGGTGTGAGGTATATTGTTGCAATTGTTTGTTTGATTTTCAGTGGTAAAAAGTCTTTTGTTATATATAGCGATCTTAGGATTCCATATGTTTTTCCAACTGATTTACTTATGTGGTCATCCCATGTCAACGTTTGATTAAATGTAAAACCCAAATTATTGGCCCGTTTTTCAATCCTAGCCCATTGATTTTTGCCCACTGACTTACGGGTTTTAATTCACTCCCTGCAGTTCTGGCTGTCACGGCATGAAAGTGTCATAGGAAAAATTGTTCGGGCTCGACGTCGACAAAGGCAGCGACGTCGACGTCAGCATGAAATTCTGACCAGCTTCAACTGCTGCAGATCGAAGCTGACTCGTAAGAAAGAGAAGCAGATATCCATAGATTTCCCTCTCTCCATATTTTTAGTTTTCTCTACCTGCATTCGACCCTAACTCTTCTACTCTCGCGCATTTCGTCTGAGGGGAGAAAAACCGATTATTTGGTGCAATCTTTTGTTGCGAGCGGCTGTGATTTTTTTGAGTTGAGCGTCTTTTTACATGTTTATTCCTTTTAAAAGTGGGTTTTCAGTGTTTTTAAAGTCAGGTAAGTGGATTCAGTGATTACAGTGCGCGTTGTTAGTTAAATTAAATTTGTACATGGGTTTCGCAAGAACAAATATGTTTAGATTCTAGATCATTCAAGCGGTGTGGTCCCGTTAACCATGTGCGTCGCTGCGAGTGTTTGTTTTTGCTCGAGGAAACCCATGTAACTGCAAATACAGCATTTTTAATTAAAAAATATATATGTACAAATTGACTTATTTATTTACAGATCAAAACATTTCTGAAGTCAAAATCAAAATATTAGTCCAGGAGTAATTGTTTAAAATGCCTCAAAGGTAAAATCAAATTTCATATGTGTATTGCTTTATACAAATCTGAACATAACTCAGAAGTTAGTTCAGAAAATATTACCTTCCGTGGCTAAATATTTTTATTTTTTATATCATTTCAGGAGCATTGGTGCTTATTAACTTGATCGAGTCAGTTAAGGAAGGCCCTACAGATAATTAAAAATAATTAAATCAATGAAAAATCTAGAAAATCTGTGTAAAATAAATATATTTACTTTTATTTGAATGAAGTGTTTAAAGAAATTTTTGGGTGGCTTTCACTTATGAAATTATCCGTGAAATTCCGTTAAATTTAATGAGAAGTCTCACAGGTGATTTCATATAGGACATTCAAAAGAGTCACGAGTGATTTCATATGGGATATTTCGAATGAATCACGAGTGATTTCATATAGGACATTTTCGGGAGTTTCCCCAGTGAAATCACTCGTGGCATATCCCGAGTGAAATCACTCCTGGCATCCCAGTCGGACCTTGTAGAAGTGGTTGCAACATAGTACTGGTTCTTCACTACTTCCCTGGCAGGCTTAGTGGAACCGATTCCACAAAGAATGGTTCTATCATGCATATTTTTGCACAGAAAAATATGGAATGAAACCCAAACCGATTCCCGATCGTTCGTTTTTTTCACGAAGCGGCCTATGCATTCTCCATGCATTCTAATAGAAGCGAGAAATTCACGCATCGAAAACGTTCGCGGACAGACGATTTTTATACATGAATTTCTTGCTTCTATTAGAATGCATAGAGAATGCAGAGGCCGCTTCGTGAAAAAACGAACGATCGGGATTCGGTTCGGCATTAACTTCGTCTATTCCCCTCTTACCGAGCGTACGAATTTGTCATCGAAAACATTCTTTATGCCTTCTAATAGAAGCGAGAAGTTCATGCATTCTCTATGCCTTCTAATAGAAGCGAGAAGTTCACGCATCGAAAACGTTCGCAGGTAGACGTTTTCGATGCGTGACTTTCTCGCTTCTATTAGAAGGCATAAAGAATGTTTTCGAAGACAAATTCGGACAACAAAAAAATAACAAAAGGGAACATGCAAGAACGTACGCGGTTTTTTCTCGTCTTCTTTTATTTCATCACTTGCGTTTTGAAGCCGGTGAAAATTGTGCGTTTATCTGTGCCCTCTGCAAACAATTGTGAAAAAGTGAAACTTAAGTGCCTAAAACCGTTTATTTTACCACGTAAGTATTGGCAGATTGTTGTGGCAGTTCGGCCTGCACCCTAAGAATATTAAAATAAACAATAAATAATGCATAATATACATATTTCTCTTTGAACATGTACATGCACATGAACATAACCTCAACGATGGAATGCGATATACATAAGTTCTTCAAACTAAGGAGAAATAAACGCACTGTAAGTATTAATAGTGGTGTAAATATATGTTGATACAAGTGGAGTGATGTTTTAATGTTCACGATGTTCATGCAGTGAAATTTATTTAGGGTGGACCTTGTTCGGATTTTTAATGAACTGATTAGGGTGGACATAAACAATAAAAAATTGTATTTGAAATTAATAAACTTTTGCCAAAATTAATAAAACAATAACAAATTTCTTTTTGATAAGGACGGCATTCTCCAAAGGAAAGAATCGCATTTACTCGGTCTCCTGCCTTGCAAGGAAACATGCAGACACCGACAGGAACGACGGCAACAACACCTCCGAGAAAAAAACAACTACAACCACGACAAGGATTTCATCATAGACGACGACGGCAATTATTTAATTTTTTTATTTTATTATTATTATAATTAATTTTCTTTTATTTTTATTTTTTCATTTCTTTTTTATCTTTTTCAGTTTTTATTTTTTTTTAATTTTTTTCGTTGTTTTTTACTTTTTCTTATTTTTCTTATTTTTTTGTATTATATTTTAGTAAAGAAAATATTAAATAAATCAAATTCAAAAAAATTTATAGTTTTTGTATTTATGGGTTAATCTCGCGTTCTTTTAGAACGCTCTTTCATGCATGCATGCATGCATGCTGCATACCTTCTCAAGGAACGGTTCTTAATACATGCCAGGGATGTGATAAGGAATGATTGCATTGGAACAGTTCCAGAACGGTTCTTAGTAGGTTCCTATGGAACGGTTCTCGATGCATGCCAAATATGTGTTCTGTAATGCTTCTTTCGGAAAGTACAACTGGAAGCGAAACCCGAGCGTTTCACGAAGTTGAAATTACAACAACCACCAGTTCCCAATGCGTTCTAAAGGAACGGTTCCTACCTACTTCCAAATGTACCGGTGCTGGCGTGTTTCGCCCTGTGTAATTTGGAAACCAAAACGTCATGTATAAATCACTGGTGCTTGCAGGAAAAAGAACCGCTCTAGAAGTGCTTCTTGGAAGGTATAAAGTCCGACTGGGATGTCACCAGTGAAATCACTCGTGGCATGTCCCGAGTGATTTCACTCCTGGCTTATACGTATAAGCCACCGGTGAAATCACTAGAAAATTCAGTGACAATTTCATATGAAGTTTCACGAGTGACAAAAGCGGACATGTCCATACAAATTTCATCTGGAGTTTCACCAGTGAGTCACCAGTGGCAGAGGACATGCCATGAGTGATTCACCGAATGAATCACGAGTGAAAAGTGACTTTTGGAACTGCAGGGCTATTACACACACGAACACAGTCATTAATTCTACTAATAGGACGACTAACATACATTTAAACGTCATCAGCATACATATGTACTTCACAATTTGTCAATACACTCGGTAGATCATTAATATACACAGAGGAGGAACGCCACGCTTGACACATAGTAAAGACGAATACACATTATTAATGGACACAATCTGCTTCCGATTAGTCAAATAAGAGAAGATCAGCTTTGTTGCTGCACTCGAACAATTGCATTGATGACTTAGTTGAAAACAAAGAATTTCGTGGTTAACCGTGTCAAAAGCTTTACTATAGTCTAAAAGAGTCAAGAACGTTATATTGTCATTGTCCAATTTTTCTCTGATACCTTCCACTACATTTATTATTGCTGTTGTACAGCTTCTTTCCACACGAAAACCTGACTGTTTGTCAATCAAGAGTTTATTAGCTGTAAAGTAATTTGTCATCTGACCAGCCATTAGTCGTTCTAACACTTTTGATAAAAAAGGTAATATAGAGATTGGCCTGTATTCGTTGGCAGATTTTGGGATTGGTAGTATTTTTGCTACTTTTCAAGAATCAGGAAATATTGATTGAGTCAATGCTGTGTTGTATAAGTGGGTTATGTATGGCAGTATTTTTGGCAATATCAATTTTATATCATCAATACCAGTGGCATTTGAATTCAGTTACACATGAAAAACTGAAACTATTATCACAGGTACCATTATCACATAAGCAGTTTACATCATCACAGTTTCTATATAGATTTTGGGGCAAGTGCTCAACATAGTCAGTTTTAGTCACTTCAGGTACTTTGCAGTCTAAAAAGTGTTCATTGAGTACATCAGGATCAACATCACAGATGCGTTCATTGTTGGATTTACCAATACCCAGCTGCTTAATGTAGGACCATATCTGCTTGTTTGATGTTGCATTAATGAATTTGTTATACAAATATTTACGTTTCTCGGAGTTGTTTAATTGTATCACCTTCTTCCTAAGTAGCTTATACTGCTTAGCATGCTGGCTTGTTTTGTACCGCTTCCATTTTCGAAATGAAATGTCGCGTTTGAACCATGGATTGCCACGAGGTTTATCAGTTTTTGCCACTAGAGGTATTGATCTATTATATAGGTATATTATATTATTTTGAAGGACAGTCAATTGTGAGTCAAGGCATAGTCAATGTTGTTAAAATCTCTATAAACTATTATGTTTTTGTTTAAGTCTGTACTAAAATTATAGGTCAAGAAAATTAAGTCATGTTTCGAAAACATTGGCATGGACAGCTGACTGAACGTAGAAACATTGTGACTATGGTTTATAAAAAATATGTCAAGTAAAGTATCACAGTAATTAGAAAACTGGGTAGGTTTAAAAACCCAATTAAAATTTTTGAGGAGTGTATTGCACTGGAGACTTGGACAAATATCCATTCGACTACACTATCACTGGGGTGCTTACATACAAATTTTGCATTTAGACGTTTACTTACATATATGACTACACCTCCTGCGTGACTATCTCGATCACATCGAAACAGGTCATAGCCAAAACATTCTACTAACACATCAATAACATGAGCCGAAAACCACGTTTCAGACACACATATGACAGTAAGAAAATTAACTTAGATAATCTAATGAAAATTATTGGTGTTGTTTGGGCCTCCGGATGGGGGCGCTTCCTCAGTCGCAACATCATTGCTTAGGCTCTGCAGGGCATAGAGATCTTCCATGCTTCTAAGGCAAACAAATTCGCCGTGTACACTCTGCCGAGCATAGACAAGAGCGCGCCGGGTGAAGACGGCTGACAAGACATTACGCTTCTTCATCTTCATGGCCTCCTTAAAGATGGTGTAGCTGCATCTATTGAGTTGCTCATTGATGTGGTTGTTTAGTCTGTCGTCGATGTTCTCCATCCGGTTTCAACAACATGATTTTGTCACGACTGCTTTCAAATTTAACGATGATCACAGGATCTAGAACAGACTCATGTGCATGTGCATGCACCCGCGACTTGATGCGAAAAATCTCCTTGATTTTCGGTGGTGGGACGAGGCCTAACGAGTAGAAAAGGCCATTAAAGAGAGCCTTTAAGTTCTCGTTGTCCATTACAGGCACTCCATGTACCCGCACATCATTTGCAATGAGTGCAACGGCATCTGCATTGGCCTTGGCTTGCAGTTGCATGGGTCGATGAGCGCCGTTGTGTCGTGGGTTTTGGCGCCCGTATCCAAGATCACCTGGGCCGTCGGGAGGAAGTTTATGCTTCGGTGCTGGAACAGCGTGTTGACCGATGGAGCAGGATTTCCCACGACGGGTCAGCTTGCGGGGAGCCGGGGGCGGCGATTGGTTTGGGACACCGGAGCTGGAGAACTGGCTGGACGCTGGGACGGTCGCATGTGTAGCAACGTGTGGTGGTTCTTGTGGCACACCTTGCACCGGCCTCCCCTTCGGCAGTCCTTGCCGGAATGCTGGTGAGCCAGGCAGTTCCGACAGTTCTTCATCGCCACGGTCAGCTTGAGGAATCTGCGGCAGTCCCGTGGCGGATGGCTTCCGAAGCAGACGGCCACAG